CTGCATGCAAAACCCATTCTTCTAGTGGAGCTGATCTGATCTTTAAAGGCAAAAGTATTCTTTTGCATATTGGGTTTGCATTTTCATAAGCTATTGTACATATAATTGATTGTCTTGTTTCTGGATCTGTTACCTGTAATTCTACTACCCTAGTTAACCTTTGTAAAAAGTCCTGGAACTGTTCTGTAAGTCCCTGTTCTTTCTGTTATAAGCTTCTAGGTGTTCTCCTGGCTCACTAACCTTATCCCAGGCATGTAATGCTGCTTTCCTGCATAGAGACAGAATATGGTCGTCATATTCAGCCTGAACCCATGGGTTAGCATAAATACCCTCACCAAGAATCTTATCTAGGGGGGCTTCAAAATCTTCTTTTATGCCTTGACGCTCAAGGAGCTTCTCTTCCTCTATGAACAATGCCCTCCATTGGATTTGGCATGAATTCTCAAGTACAGCTACTACCAGTCTTTCCCAGTCTGTGGACATTACCCTGTTAAAGGTGGCCCATGAATGTAATAGCTGTTTTACATATGGGCTATGGAGACCATATAAGACAACTGATTCTTTAATATTCTTAAGATCCTTCAGCTGTATAGGTTGCCATACATAAGCCATTTGTCCCTGAGGGTGTTTCTTAGAAGCTGGCTTTTCTACCATGGTAGCTGGGTACACTAATGGTGTACGAGTAACAACCTTAGAAGAATAGTCATGATACCTGGGTGGAGTAAGTGCCTTGGATTGGAGTGATTCCGCTTCTGAGACATCCCAATGATCTTTAAGCCAGTGATATCCTTATGAAAAGTTTCAATCTCCTTAATCATAAAAGATTCCAAGCATGTCAGTGAATCTGTAAATTGCTCTAACTGCTCCTCTACATGTTTTTCTAGGTCTTTAATAGGGTCGTCCTTAGGCAGCATCTGGATGGTATGGAAACTGCCTTCTAGGTATTGGAGTCTAGATTCAAGGTCATGATTTGCTGATTTTGAGTCCTCAGCAGTCGGCTGTATGGACCTATCTAATCTGTCAGCCCTGTACTGTAAATTATCTTCCAAACATTCAAATCTAAACTCAAATTTGTGATCTGCTACCTTAGATCCTTCAATAATTGATTGAATGGCAATGTCCAATTCTTCAACCCTATCCTGGGTATTTTGTACCTTTGCATCTAGTTTCTGGGTAATAGCACCTATCTGAGTTTCTAGCTGGCTACAGCTATTTTTTAGTTCACCTCGGTCCTCTGACAGCCTAGCCTCTAATGCTTCAGACATGGAGGATCTCTCTGTGTTTATCTTATCATAAATACACTGCATCTCATCTTGGGTAAGAGACAGTTCTGTCTTTAGCGTATTGGACACAGAGCCAAGCTTATCATCCAATTTCTGTTCCACTTGCTGCACAATTGTGGTCTGTCCTAATCTGTTCTCCAAAACCCCATTTCCTAAAGCTGTTATTTCCTATAAGTAGGGGGTGAGGTTGTCCTTGTCCCTGTTCCTGAGGTCTCTGGCTAGTAATATTATTTGTACCAGCAAGCTAACTGCCAACGGCATATACGCCGGTTATTGGCAAATTAGCATCCTCCTCAAACATTGAATTCACATAATAAGCAAAAATATTACCAATTTTAGCAAATGATCAATATTCCACCATAAATTTACCTGATTTTTACTCCAGATGCAGTAACTATCTTTGACCAGCAGGTAGCGCAGGCATTCAGCTACTCGGTGCAGCGTTTGGCAGTGGTGGAGAGAGGTCACAAAACGGCTGGGCTTATCTTAGAGATTATACGGCCTTGGCTTTATGCCACAGTGACCAGGGGAAGCTGCTGCTGAAAGCCGAGGACTACTCGGCTCTAGGGCAGGAGGCCTCAAGGCACAAGTAGGCTGAAGTCCGAGCCGGTCCCGTGCCTGCAGCTAGAAACGGTGACAGTAACTGTGGGGAGGTCTGTGGAAATCTCCCAGCTGGGCAGACTGTTCTGAGTAGCTCAGCGGCAGCCGGAACACACTTGTGTGATGCAGAAGGTCAGCTGCGAGCCAGGAGCACCCCGGTGGAACCCACAGGCTGTCCCAAAGGGCCTAGGTTTCCAATATCCCACTCCTGACAACCAGATAATGTGGGAAATTACCAACACGGAGCCACATAGAAATACAAGGGATTTTAATAGGGAAAAGCCTTACTTACAGAGCGACCTAGCAAGCTGGTGAAGCAGCAGTCTGTACAGCAAGCCGAAAGTGAAACTGTAACCAAAACCAGCCACCTGACTACCTCTCACTCTACGTCACCCTGACCACGCCCTCACATCATGGTCAGGCACACCTGTAGCCAGCCCCTAAGCAGGCGTGGCTACAGCTTCCCCTACACAGAAGCCTAGATACAGATGGCAGACAGTCCACAAGATGTGGGACAGTGGGATGTGGTGATATATTAGTCATGATTTACTAAAGATTACCTGAGGATTCATGAAGCAAAGTCAGCCAGAAGCCCTAGAAGTCAGGCACACACCTTTAATCCCAGCAGTCAGAAACTGGGAGGTGCTTGTACACACCTTCAATCCTAAAACTTAGGACTAAAGGTAGAGGGATCTCTCTGTGTCCAAGGCCACCAAGAAGACTCAAGATTGATTGTGTTCAAAAGAGTAACAGATCACACACCTTAAACCCAGCACTAGTTGGGTATAAACTATAGGAGCAGTAGTCAGTAGGAGCCACTGATTCTCCCGCCACACTGAGGAGTAGAGCATTTATTCTCCATCTACACTGAAGACAGGGGAATTCGTTCTCCAGCCTCAGTGAGACTAGGAGCACTCATTCACTCTCCAGCCAAGCCTAGGAAGGTTACAGTCTTTGGCTTGGTGAGAGCTCCTGGAGACAAGATCAGTCCATTCAGCCTGAGAAGCTAGTGGCCTGATGCATCCATTTCTGCTACTCAGCTTCAAGTATGAACCTGAATATCAATCTCTGGGTCTTTATTTTTCATATTACACTGGGATTCCGAGAACACTGTGGAGAGAGGAACTGAGCTGAGGGGAAGTATTCCTCTACCCTTGACTAGCTGAATTCCTTCCTTTCCCCCTATCTCTTGAGATTGTCTCTCCCTATATAAAGTAGACTAGACTCAGTCTGTGTTGTCCAACCTCTGCCACCTTTCTGATGGAGTTTTGGTGCCAGTCCTCAGTATTTGGTGCCATCATCATTATGGTGGCCAACTCAGGTCAATACAATCACATTTGAAATAATCACCTCCAAATGGCTTAATGCTGGGTGTGGTGGTGGAGGCCTTTCATCCTACCACTCAGGAGGCAGAGACACAGAGAAGTCTAGGAGGTCCAGGACAGCAAGAAATAGAGAGTCAGTTCGAGGCCAACTGGGGCTACATAGTGAGACTCTGTCTCAGAGAAGAGGGGGTACATTTGACAGTTATATTCATCCCTGTATTTTTGCATGATCATATCCACGTGTACTTAAAAAATACTTTTGTAACCTTCTGTGTGTCATGGATAAATATATGAGAAATTTAAACATGTGTCCACAATTGGGATATATGCAAGAAGGGATTGCCACTGGAGGTGTTCCCCTAGGTCAGAATATTCATATACTTGTCAGTATACTGAGGGTTGAACTTGGGTCTCTCTTTCAATATTTCTTGGTGAAAAGAGGAGAAAGAACTAGTGGTGGAGTTGTATGCTGCCTGTATGTCCAGTGTCCCTTAGTTTCTGGCGTTGCTATACATCTTTGAACATCATAAAATGAAACCACAAATGCCTCACACTTATCTGAGGCTCAAGTACAACAAATACAGATTGCTTCCCTCGAGAGGCCTCATGAGTGACAGGAATGAGGGAGCTTAGCAGTCAAGGAGACAAACCATCCAAAAAAGGGATAGATCAGAGACAACTGAAGCAGGGTAAGATTTAAGGCCAGGTGGATGGTCAACTTCACTGCAACTACAATACAACATGAGCCAAGACGACTGTGACGTGGTGGAGGGATTTTTTCCTAATTAAATAAGAAAATTGGGAAGGAAGTTTGACGTGGGCCACACTACGTATTGAATCCGGACCTTGTGCTGGTAGCCCCAATTCTAATGTGGACCACACCTGTAAGCAAACCACCCCAATTAAAGGTTTCTTCATAAGAGTTGCTGTGGTAATCTCTGCTGTGGTGGAACAGGCACTAGGGAGGCAGAGGCAGATGGATGTCTGTCAATTCAAGACCAGACTGGTCTACAGAACTAGTTCCAGGACATGACACGCAGAGCTGTTACACACAACCCCTGTCTTTATTTTAAAAAAAAAGCAGAAAAAGAAAAGAAGAAAGCGGTGGTCATGGAGTCTCTTCACAGGCAGGAAAATACATTGAAAATCCCTAAGAAAATCCTTGTAGGGATTTCCCAGAAGTACAGATTTTGACGGATTAGATCCTTGTTCTCTTTATGGCATGTTTTGCTTCTTTGTAGGCGCTCATTTTCCAGGTCTAAATGGTACCTCTATCTGGTTATCTCTCAGTTATGCTATGGTAGGCAACTGTTATTATAAACGGGATATTAATCACATTGAAACAAGTAATCCAAAACTATGCTGATTCCGGGAGAGGACACAAATAATTTTCTGTCTTCTTATTTGTTGGTTTCCTAATTAAATCAGGCAATTGGGAGGGATCTTTGAGGTGGGCGACACACCTTCTTGAATGCGGAGCTTTGGGCTGGTAGCCCCACCTCTAATGTGGACCACACCTTCTGCTGGAGCCCTATAAAGCAAGTGTCTCCTTCTGCCTGCTTGCTCTCTGCTGCTGGTCAAGTCCCCTCCTGCACCGGCATTAGAGCCTGCTTGTTTGGCATTCCAGCACACGCTGACAAACACCTGACAACCATAGCCACCCTTGTGGACTGAACACATACTGGATACTTGGACCTGGAATTCCAAGGTAGCCACCGTTGAAGAAGCTGGACCCCAGCCTGTAAGTCATTCTGATACATTTCCTTTCTCTGGATAGGGAGACATCCGATCTGGGAGTTCTGTTGCTCTAGAGAACCCTGTCAAATGCACTAACCAACACTCTTTCTGTTCAGGGAAGAAGGAAATTCTGCCTCTCACTGCAACATGAGCAGGGAATCAGAAAGCCGAGACCCAAACCCTTCGCAGCCACGTGCAGAAAGACAGACCAGCTTAGAAAGGACATCAGACGAGGAGATACAACCGAGAGGAAACGGAGAGGAGGAACTGGCTTCCCATTGCAGGGTGAACTGTGAAGAGAGCACAGGTATGGGGCATTCCCAAGAGGCAGAGGCAGGGGGAGGGCAGGATCACAGCCACAGATTGGACAGGATTTACACGGATTGGTAGGAAGTCGAGTGGCGGTGCTGGGGAGGGTTGGCGGTTCGGGGAGACAACCACTGGACAGTGCTCATCTCAAGCAGATTTGGATAAGTCCCTATGTCTTGGTAGCGGCAGAAAATTCTGAGTTCTCGGGAGGAATTCCATACCTGGTGGGTCAGTCACAGATGAGGGGAGTGTTTGAGACAAGGCAGCCTGTCACCTACAGTCTCTCCGGCTTTAGATTGAGAGCCAAATGAAAGTGAGGGTGCAGTCCAGTGAATCAGAGAGCAGGATAATGAATGGTCAGGAAGGCTCTGACTCTGCTAGGGTGAGGATGGCCATGGGTGAGCTCAGAGATCTTGCCTGGCCCCAAGAGCTCTTAGGCTTCCAGGTACTTAGACTTGCTGGCTCTGGGCAGCCAATTTTTGGGGTCGTGCTCAGCTTCTTGTGTGTCCAGCTTCTGTTTGGGGTGTGTAGCTGAAAGCTTTCCCTGACACTCCCCTAATCCACACATTCAATTTTCAGCTCCCAAGATGGAAAACCCAAGGAAGAGAAAACACAGTTCCAAGGACTCCGGGAAGGTCGGAAGGGGTAAGTGCTTCCTTTCCCCAAAGGGTCAACCCCATCTACCTTACACAAGGCAGGGGCAAGAAGCTGGCTTGGTGCCTCTGAGCACCGAGGAGAGGCCAGCTTCTCAGAGCATGTGTGATCTCAGTACAGACGCTGAGGGGCATGGGGAGGAACGGAACAGCCAGCAAAGCCCTGCTACTGAAGGTTCTAGAGCAGGTTCTGGGACAAGAGTGTATGGGAACTTCTTTCCTGGTGGTTCTCTCATGCTCATGGCATTCCACAGGGAATGAGGAGGCCTCCCCCTCGGAAAAGAGACAGAAGACCACAGCCAAGGAGGCCAAGCCAAAAGCCAGTGGCCACCCAGAATTAGCCTGCCCAGAAGTTCAGCACACAGGACCACCACCACTTCGAAAGAGTCTGGTGCTCTTCCTTCGGGATACGTCGGAGGCGGTTTACAGAGACATAGTCCAGTTGCAGGCCCAGCAGCAGCATTTCCCGCTACCTCAGGAGAAGCTCTCTCAGCTCACAGAAGTGTCGGGCTCTCTGACTGCCATGATTCAGACCTTCTACAGCATGGCCACCCAGGCTGCCTATGCCTTCCCTGCTCAGGGCTGGCTTGTCCCACCCCAAGTATCTCACCCCGAGAGGCCGGCTGGGAGTGAATCACAGAGTTCTTCAGTGGACGCAGGAGAGAAGATCACACATCTTGACAGCCCATCGGACAAGTCCTCACACTAGGACAAGAGACCCTCCTAAGCAGAGGGGACACTGCTGGGACAACAAAGGACCGCTTCAACTGCCTGTGTACCACGGCCTGGACCTTGCACACACTGTGTACACACTAACAAACAGTGGTGACAAGAGGAACTGCAATTTTTACTCAGGACC